GGCTAGTTGAAAATACTAAGGAAAAAGTTGAGTCCTCTTCCAGCCATTACTGAATGATGGGGATGAAATTAGCAGTGGAACAAAGAATGACACAAGACTGAAGCATACATTGGTATCCAAAAAAAACCCTAGAGATTGCCTTCCCACGTTGTTGTCACGTAGTGGTTATTTCTGCACCTTTCTATTCTCTTTTCTCTAAACATGATGGCCTCTGCAATTAAGCACATACACAGTGGCCATAGGTACAACACGGGTTCTTATTGAAAGTACCCACCTGACTTTGAGGAATATTCAAAAGCAACACTGAGATTTCCCATTTAAATGAAACAGTATTAGTTAGGTTGCTTTCTAATTAGACATTTTGCTTTAGGAAATATTGAACATGAAAACAAAAAACATGAGGACAGAAATAAGGCATACAAACTCTGGCTCCTTCCCATCATTATTCAAATGTTGAGGACAAACTTATGCAGTGAGTCAATCCATAATATAATCCATCCAGACACTCTACTTTTATTGTTCTTTTAAGAAGGAAAACATTTGGGGTGGGGGGGAATCTGTTTTTCACTATAAATCCATTTTCTCCAAAATCAGTATCTCATTAAAAAAACAACAGATCTACAACTTATATTGCTAACATGCCAAACCTACACTTTTATACAAACTATTTATCATTACTACTTATTTACTATTTATTTACAGCTTTTTGACAGATAGCACTCAAGCTGGTATACCATAAAAATTAAAGAGAAAGACATAAATAATAAAAACATTTTACAACATTACTATACTGTTGAGAGAATTTCAAGTTTACTAAGTTTTAAAAGGCCAAATTCAAAAGATATATCTTAACGCCTTTAGATGGAAGAGATCATCAGCATCAAAAATGAGGACCTATCCTTTCTAGAAGGAAAACACACTCTACTATTTGGGAAGGATGTAGGAAGAGGTCCTTTCTGCATGTCAGCAAGTGTGATTTTGTTGGGTAGAGGGGATAACCCTCTAAATACCTGGGTTTGTTCCTCATAAAACCCCAAAACCGTTTGAAAGGCTAAAATTGATGAGTAACATGTTGCACTGAGCCCGGAAGACAGATAAACAATCCAGATTTTTTTAAAAAAATACTGGAGTGATATGATCTCAGTATCGTGCACCAGTTAGCAGCCATGTCTTATACCGACTTGAGAACTGATGCAGCTTAGCATCCACATTCTTCTGATGACTGGTCCACAAGGCTGCACACTGTCTGAGGAGAGCCCAGAATTATTTCTCCTGAATCACCATGGAGGAGACCATCAGCTCTGTGACAATTTTTCATGGGAAAGAAGGAAGGGGTCCAAGGTGTCAGGAAGGCTTCCTTTCTTATTTCTAAGTGACTGCACTTCCAAACACTACCCAGAAGATCACACTGCTGCATGCTATCTGGAAATAGCAGGGTCAGAAAACAGACAGTCTGCGTGCAAAGCACATGCATGCCCCTGATCTTTGTTCAACCCCTGCTTGGCAGTGAGAACCTCATCAGCAGTTTTCCAATCTATTCCCCACTTACAAGAGGTTACTGCCTGACCACTTGCACTAGCCAACAATGCCATGTAGGCCCCAAGGTGAAATGGGGTATCTCTGAAACCAGAATGGAGGGGAAAGCAAAGATGGGTCAGGCTTGATGAGACAGTCAAGCTGGACCATAGCCCATCCAGTGGTCTATCCCCAGATGTATATACTCATCACTTGGCACAGGAAATACATGCTTCAGTGATCCAGATTTGGCATTTCCACCAGGACAGCCCTCCTTCTCTAATTACATCTTTGGATTGTCTTTCCCTTGCCACTTCCTGTTCCCAATTGCAGCTGTGAAATATGCTAATCTGCTGCTTACACTACAAAACAAGGGAGCTAATAATAACCTGCAAGTTTTCAAAGCACACACACAGAAAAGGGCAGAAGCTACTGTCTCACCCTTCCTAATGCAGCTACCATTCCACACTGGTTGGCCCTTATATGACTGGATCTGGCCCATTTTCTTCACAGTACTATGGCCTCCTCTCCTAAGAATACTTCAGCATGCTAGTTAAAGGGCCTGCCTGCCTGCCTGCCTGCCTGCCTTGCCTGCCTTGCCTTGCCTGCCTTGCCTGCCTTCCTTCTCAACTGCAATTAGATATTTTTTCTTTTAACCAAGTAATGTTAAAATATTTTGAATGCTTTAAAGATCCATAAAAATAGAGGCAGATCATACTTTCCCATCCACTGTTACAGTTTTTCAGTTCTAATTTAGTGAGAAATTCTCTATTACCCAAAATCTTATTTCCAACATTTTGAACACTAGCTGGTTATTTCTGTTAAGCTTTATCTTAACTGTATTTCTAATCTGTGGAATCAGTGCAGCTATTCACATTTTTGATGTACAATGGGCTTTCATTGTTCAGTTCAATGCAATTTACATACATTGATGCAAATGACATAAATGATATAATCCGCATCATCTGCGCTATGTACATTCCCGCAATGGACTTTCCTCAGTAAGATACCCCATCCCCCAATTAGTTCATTAAAATGAGATTTCAATGTATCACATTAAAAGTACTCTTCACATTTATGATGCTGAATTCTCCCCCCCCCCCCAAACCCTTGACATTCCACTTTTACAAACAAGATTTCAAATCTGGAAAGGAAAGCAGTGGTCAGGTCTTCTGGTGTTATGTGTAATTTATTTATATTTAGCTCTGTACAGCTTAGGTCACTTTGGGGGGGGGGGCATCTCTCTAGGCTATTATTGTTAAAATGTTGTGCAGAGAATCCACAATTATATGGTCACAGAGCTGACAGGATCTTCATGCCACTTTTTACTGCTTTCTATCTGAAACTGGTTTTAAAACTGCAGAGCAGGACAAAGTGTCATCAAAAGCAGCCATCATTTTTCACAACTTGCTTTACAATTAAATCATATAATCTGTATATATATGCAGATACAATACAAATAAATATTTGTAAAACTCCTTTAAGAAATGATAATCTCTATGTCCAAATTACTCTGGCCTCCATTTTTGAAGCATGCCATTCTTCCAAGAACTGAACCTCTGTTCAAATCAATAATTACAGCATGATTTCTATGCTACCACGGAAGTCATTTCAAATTGGGGTTCCTTAGAAGATAAAATTAGCATAACTAGTGTAGCCATACCCACCTCTACCATAATATATTTAAGAGGCGAAAATATATTACATTTTTACGTCCCAGAAATGTGCATAGATGGGGGGTTTTTTGAAGGAAGACTTAGGTACAGTAAAGTTCTTAAATATAAACTTCCTGTTCTGCATTTAAAGTAGAGCAGGGACAGCTGGAAATTTCTACACAGAAGCAGCTACAGTCTGCCTTGGAGGGCTATGTACACTGTAATTCAAGGTATTAATATGTAGTAGCTTATTCATTAAGAAAGTACAGTCTTCTTCAAACTGTGTTGGATTAGGAAGCAACCAAAAAGTTAACCACTATCCCAACTCTTTTTTACAGGCAGTCCTTGCTTAATGACAACAGGGACCAGAAAATTGGTTGTTAAGTGGGGTAGTCATTAAGTGAGTCACCATGTGACCAGATCTAATTTTATGATCATTTTTATGATGATCATTAAGCAAATCACCACAGTCGTTAAATGAATCACATGGTCGTTAAGCAAATCCAGCTTCCCAATGGACGCTTGACTATGGTGATTCGCTTAACAAACATTGTAAAAAAGGTCGCAAATCATGATCACGTGACTGCAGGGGGTGATATGATGGTTTGTGACAGTTGTAAGTGCAAGTACAAGTCGTAAATCACTTTTTCTGAGCCCAACATAACTTTGAACTGTCGTTAAATGAACAGTTGTTAAGCGAGGACTACCTGTATTTATTCATCCAATTTCCTCTGTGTTTTCTTTCTGTCAGCACCATAAATAATTTAAAGCAGTAGGGTCATCAAATTAGAACCCAGGCTCAAAAGATGAATCACACTTTTAAAAAATGTTCTATAGTTTTGGAATTTTTGCACTCTGGTTTTAGTGTTTGGCAAAAGAAAAGCTAAAGAGAGGAATCTTACTGTGAAGTACGGATGTTCTGGAATTGCCTGCCCATTTTTAGAAAAGTGGATAATCCCAAGAAACAGCTATTCTGGCCTATGGCTGCTCCCTGCTCATTCAAAACTTATTCATTGTGAACTACAGGTAGTCCTTGTTTAGCAACTGCCTCATTTAGTGACAATTCACAGTTATGACAGTGATGAAAAAGTAAATTTATGACCAATCCTTGCATTTATGACCTTTGCAGGTCTGTAAAGCAAAGGAAAGCTGAAGTAAGATCATAAGCACAATCGTAGTTTCACTTAACGACCACTTCGCTTACCAACCAAGTTGCTGGTCCCAATTATGGTTGCTAAATGAGGACTACCTGTATATCCACATGAACCCAAATAGTGACAGCTTTTGTCCATAGAAGCGAGTCCCATAATCTTATAGCTTCAAGCAAGAATCTGTCATGATTTAGGCAGAAGAAGGGGGAAGAAGGAGCAGCCATCCTGAGCCTGGCAATTCTGTGAAGCTGTCTTACTCTTTATTATTGTACTGAGTGGCTGACAACAGGGATTTACAGAACCCCCTGCAATACATTAAGGAAGTTTTATCTGACAGATTTCCTTCTATGTAACTTCAGTTTAATAGATTAGCCTAGCAGATAATCAAGGTTTTCGCCAACACAATGCACCCTGTGTTTCCTCTGAATTTGTCTAGCAAATTTTATTTGCAACAGGGAGAGGAAAAAGAGATACTTTGCTGCCAAGCTGTATCCTTTTGATATAGACTCTTGGCTGAATGAAGACTAACCATGCTGGTTAAAACTTTAGCTCATTTACTGACAAACAGAGAAACTCAAGGTGTTCGTGTGGGGGTAGGGGGTGGGGAGAGAGAGATGCAACCAAGTCTTTAGAGCCCATGGAAATATTTGTTTTCCCACCAAGGTGATAACCTCCTTACCTTCAACTGGTGAGGTCTTCAACCTCTTGCAAATATTGTGCACTCCCCCATAGGTATCATTTATTCGGGTCACTGCCTCCGCACTGCGAAGCTCCATAAGATTCCGTAGGTCCATAACAGAGCAGCCAAAGTCCCCTTCATAGCTGCCTTCTGCAACAGAGTTCCCAGGATGATGATCTGCAGAGTTATTTGTCATCTTGACAACAAGAGAGTGGGTTCAGTGAGGAAACAGCCCAAGAACAAGTTGTATGCTCCTTTTTCACCTCTAGATCTTTTTCCTCTATAAAATCAGAGCAGGCAATCCAACTTTTGGAGCTCCACATGAAATGCAGTCCAGTGCAGTGTTTGGTAGGGGACTAGACACAACTCCTCAGGGAGGAAAGAGGATCTAGTGTAAGATTGCAAGACTGCAGAACCAGCACTTCCTTCTCTTGCTCCCCAGGTGACACTAGTGGAACTAGCCAAGCTCAACTTCTTCCGTTGAAGGTGTAAACAAGATGCACATGTTACTGTGGAAGCAACCTTAGCAACAACCAGCAGGCATCTCCCAGAGAGAGAAATGGGTTCCCTGGATACCGTCTTCAACCAAAACTGCAAGACAAGGATTTGAAGCAAAAATTATAGTTAATAAGAGGCCCAAGAGGCCAGCTAATGTGCACATGGGTACAACAGATGTAAAAGCAACAGCGTAAGTATCAGAACAGGGAATGAAATTGCTGGGAAGATAGCAATGTTTAAAGAACAAGCTGATGGAAAATGTTGGCTTTTAAATGGACCACTTAAAGGGCTTTTATTAAAGTAACCATGGGAGACATGGTTCCTTAATAGTTAACCCCTACTTAGACAAGTGTTATCCTTTTATCCTAGCCTTAGTTTTTATGTCAGTTTAAATTATAATCCAAAATACTAAATATTCCACAGTTGGGAAGCAACAAAAACCTGTGCCAGCTTCTATAAGATAATGTTTCATACTACATACAGAAGACCCATTCATTTTTCTGTGGATGGTGGGTTAATTACATTTTAAGTCAGTCTGTTTAGTCAGTCTCCCTCTCTCTTACACACACACACACACACACACACGTGCATGTGTAGAGATCACAAGTTTAAAGCATTTAAACGAGAGCAAGAAAGCAAAAATCTTTTCTATTTCTGTCCTTTGCTCCTGTAGGCCTCACTTCCAGAAATGTATCACCTGGATCCATGAGGGATGTGATGTTAAATGCATTTTTGCCTTTAATACATTATTTTTAAACAACAGCCACCAAGAAGGTGAGGCTATTTGCATTGGAAGGACCCATTTTTGTCAAAGCCAGATTGCTTCCCAATACAAACAGTAGGGAGTGATTTTCATCAGGATAATAGTATAACAGGAAAAGATTAACCACCCCCTATTGGCATACCCACCTCTAAAGCTCCTGACAGTTATCAGCTCCCCCATAAGCAGCTATTTGAATTTTAAAAATCTGCACCTTAAATGTAAACCTGCATTTAACACTATGTACAGTTTGGCCAGAGTCAGGCTTGCTTATTGGAGCCCTACCAAAAGAAATGTGACACTGGGAAAAATGCTCTGGGCGAACACTTATAACTGTGTATTGCTTTCGCTAACTTGGTGCCCTTAAGATGCGCAGTATCACTACTGCCATACAGAGGTTGGATAAATGTGGGTAAACAGGCTTTCTGACTAATGTTACATATTTTCTCCCAACAAAGAAGCAATTCTCCCTAGAACTCTTATAAATAAATCACCCTTAACACTAACTCCAATTTATGGTTAAATTGGCCTAGACTCTTTGACTCACTTGCTCTGCACATCATATGATTTTCTGGTTTGCTATCACAAGTAAGACATCTTCTTCCCCTCTGAATTCTTGTTCCAAACAAAATACTTTATTTATTATAGACAGATTTACATCTGATCCATGGATACAAAGGCTTGGTAACATAATTATCCTGATGTTCATTACAGGACTAGATTTCCAGGTCAAGACTGGCAAAGATTAAACTTTTCATTCCACAGGTTGCTCATCTAACTTTTCCATGTACCAGGAGCAGCCAATATTGTTCAGGAGTCAGGTTTTTTATTTTTCAAAAACAAGCATGTTCATGGGTAGAGTATCATAATATGATACTCAACAGCATTGTAGAAAATATATCCAGAAAAGTATGTATGGCTGTAGCCATGTGACAATCCTTCATACGGCAACTGAAGCCTGTAATATATCCATTTGCAGAGGAATAAATAAGAGGCTCCAACAATAAATCATTCATTTCAAGGTGACCATAAGCAGATGCCATCTTTTGTAGGCAGGGTCAAAATTGTTAGGCCAATTTGGGGGGAATTTTCTGGAAGACTCCAATAGCTATGTTAAACTTGTTCTAGAGCATTTCTAGTTAGAAGATAGCAAATTGCACCACCTGAAATCAGTGATTTCGCTTCTGGATTTTGGTGACTTAGTCTTGGAGGGTTCTGAGGACTGCTGGGTTTCCAACAGAAAGCCCTAAGTTTCCTCTTTGCTACTGTCTTCCAACGTTCATCTTTTTGAAGTGTGCGTATTTGTGTGGGTAATCTGATTTTCTTCTTTCAAATCTGCAGATTTCCTGGGCTATATATTATCTACAGAACAGAATTTTCTTTGAAACTAAGCAACATCATGATTCTTAGGAGGAAGTCCACATTAAAACAGAGAATGAAAATGACAACCTCTGCAGCCATCTGAGTTAAAGAAAATATACCGTTATCTAGATGCAGCCTATTATTTGCTATTTTGAACTAGACAAAGGGACATAACAGAAGCTAATAACCAGGTTCTACCATGTACTGGAGCACCCAATATTGCAAATGACAATCTGCCTAAGAAAATCGCCAGTTGCAGTAGAATAGAAATAAGAAAACTATAACAGATGGATGTTGGTGGAATCCGGAGGGATAATAAGGAAGTGTTCAAAGGACAACCTGTTTTGCTCCCTAGTCTCATCCTCCTCCAGCCTTGATAACGAGGCAAGGATTGCTATCTTGCTCCTGCACCCAGAATTCTCTGCTTAGTGAAGATTACGTAACAGTAAAGCTTGTGAGTCAATGTATCTCATTCGCTTCCCAATAGAAAAGGATCCATCGATAACACTCCATCTGTTTTCAAGATCTTGCTCTTACTGTAGGGCTAACTATTGGTCAAATCTGAAGTACCAATGGAGATGAATAAATATGAATAAATAAGGTCATTTGGACTGGTGGGCATATTGGAACTTAAGAAAATATACAGAGGCTGCTGTTGCAAAATAGGGTAGTTTGGCCATTCAAAAACTGGCAGTCGTCATGGGGCTGACCAAACACAATGACTAACTAGAAGGGAAAGTGCTGAGGATGATCTCCATCTCCAGCACTCAGTGATGTTCACTATTACCTTCAAATTTATTTTTGTGTTGGGTGGGAGGGCAGACAGGTAGGCTTCCAAATAAAGCATTGGTTTGCAAATAGCTCTCCATTTTTATTTTCTAAGACAAAATACTATTCTTAGAAGCAATTCCAAATGTATTTTTAAAATAAAAATAATACTGGACGCTGTTATTTTGCTTTGTACAATGTCAGTTTATTTAAAAAAAGTAAAACAGCCTTAAAAAATTTAAAAGGCAAGTTGGACAAAGAATTGATGTTTGCCATCATATTGGTGACACAGTGACCATTTTGGAGACCCCCAGATGTTTTGGCTTACAAAATATTTGCAAATAGTATTTGTGGGTCATACAGGTATTTAATTAGAACACTGTGCATGGAAGAGAATTTCAGTTTCCTTTCACTGTATTTTGTCCAATGAGACACACACACCCCACACACAATATGGAAAGTAGTTACTTTTTCTTGTGTGCCATGATTCTGATCTGGATTGTACTTTCTCTATTCAACTAACAGTTCTGTTTATTTAGTAGTAAAACATGGCGCCCCTGTGAGTTTGCTGCAGCCCCTGGGTGCCACGGCATACAGTTTGGGAACCATGAGAATAAGAGAATAGTTATGGCGCGGAAAGGAAGAGGTAATAAAAAGCACAGGAGGAGGAATGGAAGCTTGCTTATTTGGGATTCAGGTTCTAGCAATGCACACAAAATGAATTCTGCCTCTTCCTGTTGTATAGACTCTGTACTTGATGATCCTGACCTAATACCCCAGTCTCTGAATCCAAAGCACATCAGTGCCATTGAGTGGAGAAACAGCAAAGAGTAGCACAGAACTAAGCTATGTTTCAAGGCTAGGCTCCTTGGAAATAACAGCATTCCCAAGAGTTGGCACTGGGATGAATGCTAATAATAAGCCCAGGTTGAATTCAGGAGGGGCTTAGCTGACAGGAACATAAAAGCACAGTAAGTGAATTTATTTGCTACAAACAATTTTTCTAACAGCTAGATATGTGTTTTGCCCTGGAACTTTCAACTTCATTTTACTTATTTGGATTTACTGATCCCTACCTGGACCTTAACCATGCTTTTCATCCCTTTAGATACACACTTTGATTCTTAATTTACACACTGAACTGGATCACTTTTTTGCCTAATCACTTTGTACAAACTGAATTCTGTGCTCTCCACCTTCGCTATCCAACTACTCTCCCCTGCCCGTCTGGGTCCATAAGATACTTTTGGCCCATAAAGTTCCAGAAGTGTGCAACCCACATTTGTATTGAAAACAGGCATTCAGCTCCCCAAAAGTATGTGAATCAATATGATTTAATGGTGAATGTTAGACTAGGGTTGACCTCCAAGTTGAAAGTTAATTTAGTCCAGAACTTTGGGAAAAAAACCCATTGTGCAGATAATATGGGTGTGAGGAAAAGACAGTACTAGATACATTTTCCTAAGCTCCTTTGAGGGAGGAAAACTTTAAAAGAAAAATAACATGGATTTTAATTTAAACAAAATTCAGGGCAGACTAAAAATTAATCACAGCACCACTAAGGCCACATTCACACAGTTGCTTTGCCATACTCTCCCCTGCCCTGAAGTCATCAGGAAATCTTTTCACCCTAAATCTTGCTGCCCCCACAACCCACCCTTCCCACACACTTGGAATGGGTTAGTGCTGAGCTTTAAAGCACAACCCTCTAAGAACTGTGATTGGTGGTTGCCAGCCCAACCCAACATCTACTACTACTTAAAAAGATGCTCCACAATTGGCATCCACAGCACTCTGGTTAATCCATATTTAGCTATTTTTTTCCCCTTTCCAAATGATCTACTGACCAGCTAGACATTTTTTATTCATTCCTTGAAATTATGGTTTGACTGACTGTCTGACCTATCAACCACTAGGCGGCAGCAAAGAACTGAAAGTATTGTATCTCTTGGCTACCCTGTAGTGGTTATCTGGATTTGTGCAACTGAGATGCAGCCAGTGGGTAAGTCTGCTGAACAGCTGAAGTCTGAGAAACAGGTTAGCTATGGGGATCTGAGTAGGAGCTGGAACATAACACAAGAAGAGGAGGCAAGAAGCCAGGGCTTCCATGGAAGCAACAGCCACTGGGAAGAGAATTCCCTGCCAAGCAGGCTACAGAAGTACAAACATTGTTTCCTTTCAACTACACGTTCAATTACATATG